CTCTCTCTCTCTCTCTCTGTAATTCCCTAACAGTTCCACTACCCGCCACACACACACACACACACAACACACACAGTAAACCCTTTCACGGTATCTTTACATAGAAAGCTTACAGCAATGCCCAACAGGAAGTCTGTGGCCCCTTTCTTCCTCAGGTTGTTCCAACTCACGTCAAGATAGACCAAACGATTGTTCTCCCCTGCAGAAAACACATTGCATCACTGTTTTAATACAGGCTGCCCCCCCCCCCCAAAAAAAAAAGGACGTGGGTGGTTGGCGGGTGCTTTGGTGTGGTTTGTTCCTTCTTTCCTATCAAACATTTATCGTCCTTATCTCTCCTCCTTCTTTTTTGTGTATTTTACTCTCTTGTAACACATCTATTCTTCGGCACTTATGTCACCTTATTGTATTGCAAGTGCCGTTAAACCCTTATTAAAACTTTTTTAAAGACCCACTTAAAGGACAATAACTCAGTCATTAGTACATTGATTTTAACAAAACTTTGAACTTCACAAAATTCAACCAGGGGAACATCAAGTTTGTAAATATCACAAAAGCCCACCCACGCCTCCGAGAAATATTAAGTTTTTAAAGTGTCAATCAAATTTGTGTAAAGCGCAAAATTTCACTTTTTCGAAACCTTCAGCAACAGGAGCGTGATCGGTCTGTTCTGGTTTCAGGACAAGGACGGTAAAACCCATCTCCTGGTAAAACCACAATATCAGATGGATATCTCTCCGTGCTGAGAAAGTTTTGGAGAAGTTTGGAGAGGAGAAGGTGCTATGCTGTAGAGGCCTGGTTCCAGTGGGATGGGTCTTGAGTGGTCCTTGTATTGTTGCAAGAAAGCTCTGGGGAGCACCTTGTAAGCCTACCGCCTACAAATGAATGGTCACAACCTTCCCCCAAACTTGAGCCCTTTAAATTACTACCTTGGGGGGGGGGGGTGGCAGAGTCTATGGAAACAAGCTACAAACGATCTAACAGCTGAAACTCAATGTTGAACAGGACGCCCTTACATAACACAACCCAAAAACACACCATTGGGTTATTCAAATTTTCCAGTAGTGTATTGAAGCTTGTAGAGAGAGAAATGGTCAATCCCTGGAGATTTAAATATCCATCCCTCCCTGGGTTTATTTGATAATATAATTTTTAACATAAATGTGTCCTTCAATGCACAATTTCAATAGTGACTATTTGAGACAGATCAGTATGGTTGGTTTTTAAGAAGTTGCAAAGCTTTGCGTTTCACTCAGTTTTGGTTGAAATTTTAAAAACTAAATTTTTCTCGAACACTGTGGCTGATTAGTTTCATTTTGACAAATGTAATGTCCCCCTAGATCTAGTTGAATTTCATTTTTCAAAAAAGTTTCATTTAAATTGGTCAAAAAGCGGTTTAAATGGGTCCTCTTTTTTTAGACACAATCTATCTATTCAATCTTCCATCCATCCATCCATCCATCCATCCATCCATCCATCCATCCATCCATCCATCCATCCATCCATC